CCTTCTCTCTGTCACTCCTTTTCTCCATTGCCCTTTACTCTGCCAACCCTTCTCTGTCAGGCCCTTTTCTACTGGCCCTTCTCTTTTGGGCTTTTCTCAGTCAGTCCATTTCCCTTTTCCAATGGTCCTTCTAGTCAGCCTTTCTCTCTATTCCATTGGCCCTTCACATTGGCTCTTCTTACTATTCCATTGGCCCTACTCAACAGCCCTTTGCCTTTTTCCATTGGCCCTTCTAATCAGCCCTTCTCTCTTTCTTTAGGGGAAGATGGTGGTGCAGGAGGTAATGTTATCGTTTGGCATCCAGAGGGTTGTAGGTTCGAGCCCTGGTTCCTCCTGACCCTATCAAAGTGTCCTTGAGCAAGACACTGAACCTCAAATTGCTCCCAGTGTGCAGGTTGATGCCTTGCATGGCAGCCTTTGCCACCAGTGTATGAATGTGTGTGTGGATGGGTGAATGTGAGGCATGTATTCTAAAGCACTTTGAGTACTTGTAGGAGAAGAAAAGCACTATATAAATGCAGTCCATTTTTCCATTGGCCCTTCACCTTTTTCTATTGGCCCTTCTCATCAGCCTTTCTCTCTTTTCCATTGGCGCTTCTCATTAGCCCTTCTCTCTTTTCCATTGGCCCTTCTCATCAGCCCTTCACCTTTTTCTATTGGCCCTTCTCATTAGCCCTTCTCTCTTTTCCATTGGCCCTTCTCATTAGCCCTTCTCTCTTTTCCATTGGCCCTTCTCATCAGCCCTTCTCTCTTTTCCATTGGCCCTTCTCGTCGGCCTTTCTCTCTTTTCCATTGGCCCTTCTCATCAGCCCTTCACCTTTTTCTATTGGCCCTTCTCATCAGCCCTTCTCTCTTTTCCATTGGTCCTTCTCATTAGCCCTTCTCCCTTTTCCATTGGCCTTTCTCGTCGGCCCTTTGCCCTTTTCCATTGGCCCATCTTGTTGGCCCATCTCCCTTGTTCATTGGCCCTTCTCTGTCTGCTGCATTGTGCGGCCCTTTCAATGACAGGTAATGAAGCGAGCTGCTAATTGTGATAAAAATAATTCCACACGCCATTCTATTAGGCATAAATGATTTGGCCACTTGGGGTATGTGCATTCCAAATTAGTTATTCTTTTTGTGTTCCAAATTACCTATTCTTTGTGAAGTTTCTTTCACATTATTAGCAAGCTCTGCAGCTAGCCATTGGCTTTTTTCCAGGTCTCTGCGCAATACATATTTTTCTGCTCTCTCGCAAGAAGACTCAGTTGGAGGTAGCGAGGGCCGCAGAGGTAGGAGTGGGGTATGAACCCGAGCAGGAAGGACAGCGGGCGCCGGAATGTTCTCTCAGGATGACATCAGTGTCCCTGGACTTCCTTGTGTCACCGCTTTGATATTTCCTATTGAGACGGGATCAAAGAGGTTCGCGCACATGGTCCTACTGCAGGGCAAACCCAGGAAGCTTAAAACTCATGCCACTAAACAATTGAAAACACATTCAGAAGAAGAAAAGAGAAGGACGCGATGAAATCTCAGCCCAAGAAATGATCATCCGTGCACTTAAATCTGCACCGTGCCAGATGAAAGGCTGCACTGTGTGCTTTTTTTGGCCCTAATTATAAAAGCCGTTTCCCTTTAAGAAAAGCGGCATGCATGGCCCCTAGTGGCCTGCACAGATATCTCTCAATCGGCAGAGAGTGTTGCAGGTAAGGCTAATTACACCTCCTGCTATGAGGAGGCCTGCCAGTACTAATTAGATACCTAAACTGCCACTGACAGCAGGAAAAACACACATACTGTTCTCATCTGTTTCACTGCAAGCAAGTGCCTGCATTAAGGAAATTATATATATGTATGTATGTAGATATATGCATACACACATACACACACACACATACACACACACTTACATACACAACAAATCAAAATACATATATGACTTGTGTATATGTGTACACTCTCTACATATTAAATGTGCTTACAATAAAGGAGCAATCAAATGATAATTAGAATGACACTTCACAATCCTGACCACGATCGCTAACCAGGCTAATTAAATACGCCCCCCCCCCACCCCCGCGGCCCCGGCGTCACAAAGCTGCTCTGTAATCAGACGTGTGTGACGGCGGCCCGGGGCCCATCAGATGGCCCGCTCCGGCCGCGGCTCCCAGAAGCCTCTGCTCTGGCTGCTTCCTCACACAAACTTTGCTTGGAACCTGAGACGGGGTACAGATGGTGCCCGTGTGTCCCAGGGCCCGCGGGGGAAACCGCTCATCTTTACCAGCATCATTTATTCATGTGCGGTGGGGGAGGGGGGGCTTGGACTAGCAGATAACGACCGCCCAACCGGGTCCGGAGAGAGGACCCGTCTAGCCCAGCCCAAAGAGAGAGGGTGTCCGTGGCACTATGGGATGCCATTTTATATCATTGAATCCAGTACTCTCATGTGGTACATGAATGCAATCCTGTCTTCCCATCCCATATGTGGGAGGAAGACCCGGAACGAGGGAGGATGGGCTGGGCTTCCCCGGAGCAGACAGCTAGCCCCCAGTGCTGCCCCTAGGGGGGGGGGGGGGGGTTACCGACCCACCTGATGGCCAATCATTAATCAGGCCAAGCTAAGGAGCTACGCAGAGTCATCTCTGTCAAGGAAATGTACCAAAGCCCCATTTCAGTCTATATGTTGTGAATACGATGGACTGTCATTCCATCCAGGGAATCCTCAACCTTGTGCCTTGCGCCACCTACAGTAGGTTCCAGGCCCTCTGTAAGCCCAGCACAAGATAAGCAAAGGGACGATATATGATTGGACCAGCACCTTATTTAGCTCCTGAGGAATGAAGATGAGCTTCACTGAGGAAACACAGTCGAAGGTCGATCATTAGCTGCAGAGCTCTACGGCACAGAGCCGCCAATCAGCAGCCCTGTCACTCGTCTTTAAGAGTGACTCGCGTGTCACGTGCGTACTGTATGGGGAAAGTGACCCAGACCCGGCCTGATTGGACAGAGCCCTCGTATGACGTTCAGACTCAAAATCTCACTGCTGGGGGGGGGGGGATGGAAAATCACGATAGGAGTAAACAAGTTACAGAATGAGATGAGCGTCCGTGCCGGCTCTCAGCTTATCCGGGTCACACGTGTGCCTTTGGACTCCCAAGAGGAGCACGGACGGTGTCATCCCAGGTGGCCTGTGCCTTCTCATCATGGAGCTGTTAGTCAGACACGAGGAGGCGGAGGCGCTGATGGACAAAGGAGCGGCATGTGGGCAGACGTGCACATTAGTGTCTTCCCGGGGCAGGCCGGCAGCACTTTGGGCGCGTCCCCACTCTGCCGGGATTGATCTACCTCCTACCGAGTGAACTTCCTGTGAAACACACCCAAAAGCTCAAGGGGAGGGGCTGTCAATTGGCCGGATAGGTCTGGTAATTTCCTGGGTGCGTGTCTGAGAGCGTTGGTGGTGGCTGGGGGGAGCACTTTACATATTCCCAGCAAATTGAATCTGATTTCTCCGGTTTGCCTGGCATGACGCAAATTCTGAGGATCCAGAGGAGTTTTCAGGAGGTGAATGGAAGAAAGCAGAATAACAAGATGAAGCTGCTTGCCGGTGTAGGACAGGGTACACGGGACAGGGTACACGGGACAGGGTACACGGGACAGGGTACACGGGACAGGGTACACGGGACAGGGTACACGGGACGGCTCAGAGCAGCCACGGTGATCAATGTGGACACATCACCAGAAATGAGGGGCTCCGTTTGAAAACCACGCCTTTCGAGTGTTTGGTCATCCAGCCATGGAAATTAATCTGACGGATTTTTAAAGAGGTTGGAACAAGATTAGTCACGTTATGAACATACTATGAAAGCCACATGTCTTTCTAAGAAAGCCGGTCCTTCAAATGTATACTTGTTCTGTACAATGAAAAACCATAGATGTCTACAAAGCCTCGTAAAGACTCCATGTATAAAGTTTCTTTTTCGAACTCCAAATCGGATATCAGAGGCAAAGAAATTAAATTCCGCTCCGCAGATGGATGAACTTTCTAAGTTGTTATCGGCACAAGCGTAAGCCACACACTACATTTAAAGATGCTGATTTATAGATAGTACACAAAAAGTTAATTACGGGGCACAACTATCAATCACACTGTGAACGAATGTCTAAGCTACAGTAAGCAAATCAGGAGGACTGTTAAGAAACAAGCACTCACATTCATATTTCACACGCTGAATTGTTTATCTGTGTTTCTGGCAACAAAGATTGCACTATTGCTATAAAATTGCCCTTCTTTCAAGACTCAATAAGTGTGCTGATACATTATCAACAGCCGTAAATTGATTTGCCCGCAGGGGAGGGGCCTCACCCCTTCGAGGAGCACAGACACACGGACGCGGCTTAGGGCTCCTCCCTGCGCCGTCTCATGCATCGTGGGGGCGTGTTCTCCTTTGTTTGCCTATTTGATATCGCTGTGATTAACATCCCGCGGAAATGTCTTGTAAGGTTCTGAGGCCACATAAAATGTCACATCCCCACCCATATGACATTAAGCATGTTTGCGATTCTCCACCCCACAGTAACTGCCAGGATCGTGAGTAGCGCCTCTTACTGGAACATGAGGGAAGTGCAGCTATGTAGAGAAGCTGGCAGCTTTCAGCTAAAGATCAGGCTTCATTAAGAGTTTCTGGGAAGGTGAAGATAGAGGTACAGCAAAGAGGAGGCAAACTAAAAATGACTAAACTGAACAAGCGACAACAAACAGGTAAGTGTAGTGAGAAGCAGCGTACGCAGCCAATGAGTTGCCCAGTGGGTGGCCTCAGGCCTCTTGAGCGCCCCCCACTGGGTGCCCCATGCTGCCACAGAGCCTGATCCACTCACCAAACATGTGTCCTTGCTGTTTCTGAAACACGCCAAGCCATCCATCACAGTCCAAATTAAGAGACCTATTCCCAGCCCCCCCTACCAACCCCAAACCCAGACAGTCTAATATCACAAACGAGAAGGCCGAAGTGGGGGCCACTCACTGATCGCGTCCACGAAGAGCTCGAAGAAGCGGTACGGCAGGAGCGGCTCTGGAAGCTCCCGGAAAAACATCTTGAGTGCTCCGGTGACGACGTGGATGTCCTCCCACTGGCTGTCGTCCAAATTCAGTGGCTCTTCTGGGAAAACACGGGGAGAAATGGAACAACTGGTTTTAATGAAACAATTACAAGGCACTAATTATTATGTTAATGTTTGCCTACTATCATCAGGCACCGCTAACAGCCTTCTGCACCTAGAGGGTTAGCGCCTGTGCCCCCCCCCCCCCCCCTTGGGGAGGGGAATGTTTTCCAATAGCATGCCATCTGTAGGAATGCATCAAGCTAAATGTAAGAGGGACAAAGCCAGCCACTGCTACTGACGCAGGATGCCAGGTACATTAATTCCCATAATGCACTGGCGAGGGAATTAGCAGCACAGCAGAAAGTGTTTAAAGGCTATTAGCTTTTGATGCTGTGGGTGGCCATGTGACACGGCCAGAACAAGGGAGGGGTCTCGTGGTTTGAGGGGACCAGCACACGATGATGTAATGAGCAGCCATGACTTCCCTGGCTTACTGTGCCTCACCACCATCAGGGAGCCATGACTCTGCCTTACCGTGCCTCACTAGCACCAGGGAGCCATGACTCCTCTGCCTTACAATGCCTCATGATATCATGATAGAACGACTTAACATCACAACAGAATGACTTTACGTCAAGAAATCATGACATACTTACCTTGCCTCACCACCAACATGACTCCTCTGCTGGTCCATGCCTCACCACCATCAGGGAGCCATGACTCCTGTGCCTTATCACTATCAGGTAGCTATGACTCCTCTGCCTTACCACTATCAGTGAGCTATGACTCCTCTGCCTTACCTTGCCTCACTACCATCAGGGAGCTATGACTCCTCTGCCTTACCACTATCCGGGAGCTATGACTCCTCTGCTTTACTTTGCCTCACTACCATCATGAAGCTATGACTCTTCTGCCTTACCTTGCCTCACTGCCTTATGTATGTGTGCGTGTGTGTCTCTGTGTATATAGTACCAGTCAAAATTTTGGACATGCCTATCCACAGAATAATTTATTTTTACTATTGTCTACATTTTAGAATAATTATAAAGACATCAAAACTATAAAGAATATATCTGGAATTATGCACTGACTAGTAATTAAACTCCTCCAAAACCATCTTTACTGTGTTTGGCTCAGGTGTCCAGATCATGTGATGCGACACTATCACCCTCACACTCTCCTTTGTAGGCGGCTTGGCACGTCCAAACTTTTGACTGATACTGTGTGTGTGTGTGTGTGTGTGTGTGTCTCATTGACGCTTACCATGTGAAGTTGCTGTATTGTCTAGAACTGAAGACTGTGTAAGGATCTGATATCTAATAATGTCCCTGTGTCCCTGTGACTGGAGGACAGTGGTCAAGGTATGACCCCTGTCAGGAGTATTTGGGAAGTTCACACGGGTCACAGGAAGCCTCACGGAGAGCTGAACTGAAAGCAGCTCTTGCTGCTCTTTGCTCATGACTCTAAACAGCCGTTTTTGGCTCAGACTTGCTTGTTAATCAAACGAAATCTTCTTTAGAAATGCTTTTTTATACAGACCCCTCCACCCCACCCATGATAATGCCCGAGTCAGTTTGATTGAATTCAATTAACAAATGTCCCTTAATTTCATTATGTGGTCATAATGAAGACTGACTTCATCCTACGGGGCAGCTTTGAGCGCCGGGCAGCTGAACAATGACATCAGGAGAGCAGGGGCCGCCCGCGCCGGCTCACTGTCGCTCTGAAGGGGGAGGGGCTTTTCATTACAGTGAAGCCTGTCAAATATTTTGATATGTCCCACACACCATGACGGCCCCCCCGTGCCCAACCCTGTCCCCGTCCTCTTGATCTAACGGTCCGCCTTTCGCTTTAATAAAGGACCCTGATTTCGTGCGCCCGTACAGCTGCTCTGATTCCCAAGCTCTGGCCTGTCACACCACTTTCCAGATCATCCGTGTGAGATTTTACGTTCCCATACGGCGCTGCCACTTGGCACGACACCACTTTGCTCTGACATTTTATAACCAGGAGTAAATAAATACTCTTAAAATCGGCGCTCCCGATCGAGCGTCTGACCTCGACTGGCAACGCCGGGGCGTAAACTTCCTGCGCTGCCGCCTGTTCTTTAGCCAAGGGCTGCTCACGATGAAACGACCCGTTTGTGCTCTTAGGTTAAATACGCCCATATTTAGCGGCGTTAACAGGCCAATTAGTAAGAATACATTTGGCCGTGTTTGTTTTCGTGAGAGAGCCACACTTGTGCTTTTCATTAACGGCGAAAGCATTTTTTTGTAAAACACGCGTGGTTCCTTTACGGGCTAGACGGTTGCCGGTATACGAGCAAAGCACTCGATTGGAATGACGGCGTAAGGCTCGCAGTGCAGTGGGCACATTATACAGAAACAAAACAAAACACGTGCATAACAAACCCGGCTTTGCAGCGTGTTGGTATTTTCCTGGGACGGCATTCGGCGGGCGGGCGGCCGTGATGAATGGACACCACTCTGCCTTCCTTGCCTCCGTCTTGCTCGGAGACACAATGGGCAACCAGCCATTCAGCCGGCATGCCAATGGCGGGGCCACTGCCTGACAGGTCCAGCCGCCATAACCGCCGCTCCGAACAATTAATCATATTCAAGTCCATTCAGAGACAAGCCGACGAGCATCGTGGGGTTCAGGAATGTGACGTGGGGGGAGTAGGTGCGGAAATCCGTTTCGGAGAACCTCTGTAAATCACCCTCCTAATCAGCAGAGGCAAAGCTCATTTAATCTTCATTTAGTCCCGCGTACCTTGACGGTGGCAGTCGGAGGGTATACGTTTCTTTTTTTTTTTTCTGAAAGGCATCGGTGACAAAAAAGCCCATAGATGGCCTCTCATTTCAATTTAGCTTTCAATGAATTTCGGAGGAACAGGTCCGGAGGTCGAGTGTCATTCATCACTACAGAGAGTGACGTTCCCAGCGCTTCAGCGCTTTTTTGGACAAACCGAGGACGGGGGAATCAGGATTCTTGGTAGACGGGCGGGAAGCAGGAACACAAGGTGCCACTGTGTTCGGAAATAATGCGTGCTAAGTCGGTTATGTCACCCCCCCTGACCCCTGGAGTCACGAGACAAGCGACATTCTCACAGATGGAAGCTCGGGACAAGGCAGCACCATGCTGCAATGAAATGAATAACTTAGCCGTGACCCATAAGTGAATTCCTGTGTCTCAGAATTATGATTTATTTCTGCCTTCTACAGCCGTCTTTAGGGCATCCACTGGCTAACAAGAGCTTCTCTTGTTCACTCGAAAAGGACCTCGGGCTACAATCGCTCATAAAGGACAAATTAGATAATTTGGGAAAAGAGACAGTCCCAGGATTTTGTTTTATTTTTTTTCCAACCCAAGTCTGATCTGGATCACACTTTTGTGCTGGGAAGTATTTTTCCCTCCCCCTATTACTATATTCTATTGCGTGAAATGCTTTCATGTGCTACAAAACCCATCTTTAATGCTCCTCTGAAAAAGTTAATGAATATTTATTTATACCAAACTGAAGACCCACACCAGCGGACGTTATGCATTTAATTTACCAAGCGTTTAGATCCGGTGATACGTATCACTCAAGATGTTTTCCAACAAGATGTTTCAAATGTTTATCTTTTTATTTGAAGTCAAAAAGCACTACAAACATTATAAATGACCTTGTTATCTTTGAAGAATATCATGTGGTTCAAATTATCATCTTATCGTCATTCAGTAAATTTGGTAATTATCTATAACAACCATTTAGCTGAAGTAATTCATATTTAAAATTTCACATAAACCAGAAATGCTGAGATTGGCCTTAGAAGTATTACGGAATTAAATGAAATTATAGAAGAGTGTAACGGAATGCAGGAATGTAAAAAAGTACCTGCTGTGCAGGAAGACACTCTGTTAAACTGCGATGGAAACGGCGCACAATAAGTACTTTATAAAAAGGAAGGGGAGAGACTGGGCTGCCAGAGTCACGGCTGAGCTCTGCATGTCAAAGAGAGCAGCCAAATCAAAGAGGGCCAGAATGACCTTGGCTGCCAGGGGCCACGCTGGGGTGAGTCCGAGCCCGACACCACACAAGGGGCCGGGAACGCCAGCCCCAGAGGGGGGCGGGGGCTCTCCCTCAGATTTGACGTGCCCCATGTGTGGCCCCCAGCTGCAGGCGGATGGGTTACGGGCTTAAATCTGGATGGGTAAGTGCAGCAGTTGGGGGGGGGGGGGCGTGTTTAGACAGAGTCTGGGAATGCTCAGGTCGAAACAAAATAAAGAAATATGAGAAATGCATTTTTAAAAAAATTTTGGCTCAGCCCCGAGGTAGCTCTTTGCTTGAGTGTGGTAGACATCAGGCTTTTCTCCACCCAGCACAGAAACTAGGGGGGTGGGGGGGGTGCCAAAATCCCCGTTCACGCGACTCAAAGGGCCGTGTGAGTCTGTCTGTGGCCGATTCATTTCCGCCTATTCATGCGGGCCCCGCGGGCAGGCAGAACAGGGGGCACTGCAGCCGCGTGCGTGTTCCGCTCCTCGTAAATGGAGAGTAAGTCATCCACGGAAACCGCCAGCACACACGTCAGCCCCGCTTTGTGTACGGCACTCCCCTGTCCCGTCTCACCCGCGCCCTTGTCTGCGTTTAACCGTGCAACGGGGAACACCGCCGAATGGGGAACACTGCCGAACGGAGAACACCGCCAAACGGAGAACAGCGCCGAACGGAGAACAGCGCCGAACGGAGAACAGCGCCGAACGGAGAACACCACAAGCAGTGAACCCCTCTGATGCTGCCCCCCCCCCCCTCATGTATCGAGCCTCAAAGAGGGAAAGGAAGATCTTTCAAATATACCTCTTTAATTCCAAGTTACCGGGGAAATTATGATTTCCGAAGCATTTCAAAAGGGCTCAGTCGTCCCCGTCAGGCGTGTGAAGTCTTTGTGAATTCAACTGAAATCATTTATTAAAGGCAATATGACAACTAAGAAAAAAGATAAACACGTGTGATTTGGTTAGGATGGTCACTGGTGAGAACTGCGAATGAAATACATCACAGTGACAGGAATAA